AGTAAGCAGTCCTCAGGGCAATTTGATTTAAACCTTTAGCATTTTGCATACTCCCAAGCAGCAATGCGTAGTAGGACATGTATGTTCACAGCCTCTGAAAGGTCATGCTTCCCAGCCCTCAAACAAAACCCAGGTCGGAAATATTTCAGCTTGTAGAAAATATCAGAAAAGCTATCAGACAATTATGAAAACATTTTCCATTAAATTAAACTCAAAAGGGCTTAAGAGAAACAAATTGTGATGTATGTTTTTAGACTGTGGTGTATTTCAACAGAAAGTTTTACATTCTGTCACATTTAGGAAGGCTGCCTTATCTGTCTTTCCTCAAGAGACATGCTCACTTACTTAAATGTCTGTTCAGGTTTTCCAAGCCACTTTGCCTCCCTCCTCCCTGAAATCCCAAGCCTCTCTCTAGGATGAAAACCTGAAACCTACAATGCAGAATTTGTTTGAAGTCTCATTAAGCAAGAAACCTTAAATTAAGGACAGCTCAGCAAATTCAGAGTCACATGAATGTAAACCAAGCATTACATGGAAGTTCTCCCTCATTATCCCCTTTGCGAGCTGTTTCTAGTCTGATTAGCATACTAATGATATATGTTCCACATAGAAAAAACAATTAAGTCTCCACTTCAAAGAAAAATGATTTAGTACAAGAGTACCAAAGCTTGTGCTTGCATCTTCTACCGATTTTGTGATACCACAGAGCAATATGGCAGCTGTTAAGTGCTTAATTCTCATTTATAACAATGGAAGATGGTAGGTGTTGGTTGCCTTTTAAACATATAGACGTTTCAATAAGGTGCTTCTATGGCACTACAGGTATGCATTCTTGGTAGTGGTGGTCTAACTGCAGATAAATAAGTGAGCTCCTTTCAGTTCACATCGTAAGAACTGCACATTGATTCCTTTAAAGAAGTCATTCATTAAAAAGCGGAGATATTAAAATAAACAGCCCTAAAAAAGCAGAATCTCATACAAAGAAAATAATTTTATAAAACTGGATGTGAAGAACCCAAGCACCATGACAAACTAATTAATGAAAACCAGAAAGGAAGACACAAATAAACAGGCAGCATGAAGAACGGCAGGCAGAAGAGCCTGGTCTCCTAACGATTGACATTCTTTTTGACCACACAAGAAATAACTAAAATGAAAACAGTATTTAAAACTACATATATTGAGTTTTAATTACTTCATATGCATGTTATCATTGTAATTCTGTAATTCCCACTCTAGGGAATGGGTAAAAGTATCATGTATTTGCTAAGTAACATTGAAGTCGCACTGAAAAAAGTACGCAAGAAAAAAAGGAAAACTGTGCTGATCCAGGACATGTTTCACAATGATGGCATGCCAGAGGCATCTGTGGATTTCAAAGAGACACACACAGATTTTTGTAAAGACACCGTCAATTAGTGAAATAGCACCGAACTGTGCTATGGATTTACAGAACAAATCAAACGTCAAGGCACTAGGTAGCTTGCAAAGTAAGTTTAGTATGAAACAATGAGGTTAGAGAGGGAAAAATAGGTTAGAGAAGGAAAATGAGTAGCCTACGCTCATATATTTTGCCTGGGTTTGATGCATAAGTACCCAACCCTGTCTCTAGTAAAAAATAATTTGTTTAATAGGCTACAGATGTAACCTACTAATAGTAATTAAAAATAATTTAAGTCACACGTCCTTCGAGCAGCATAAGTGAAGCCTCAGTGGTGCTTAAAATAAATTATTGTTTTACCTTCCTACTAACCCACAGCTATGCCTCATGACGCAACAAGAATGCTGAAGAATCGCCTGTACCACCTTGAGAAGTGAAAGATTTGATACAAATAACACCCAGCCTAAAAATCTGTCAGTTGAGAGAAAGGAATTTTGAAGAAAAAACCCACAGCCCCCACTGCCCCAAACCTCAAAGTTACTGTTGAATGCTTCTTGTTCATACCTACAGTCTCATTTCTGTAACACCAGACTGCAAAGCATTTCCACATACATGATAACCTTTGGAGTAAATGAGAAATTTTAGAGAAAGACAATTTCAGACCAAAACTCTTTAAGTCAATACAAATCAAATTATTGACCTTGATTGAAAAACTAAGCAAACCTCACCCACAGCAGTCTAAGTAGACCTTTGAAGTATAAACAGTTTATACTGCAAGCCTTCGCTGAGGTTGATCTATGTACTTTACCTTTTTTAGGGTAAATAAATTCACTTCTTTGACAGCATCGTATTTATTTATTCAGAAACAGAGACACCATTCGCTATACAATGGCAATAACTAATACACAAATAAATGTTACCACCATCCTTATTAAACACGAAACAGAAAAGGCTTAACTTCGCCAGCAAAGTTAAGCCCCTGAAAATTTTCCGAGAGGTTTTACGCTGCCCTTGGGTGATCAGACCCCAACCTTCTTAAGAAGCTTGCTGCGTAAATCGCATCCCGCTGCTTCCCGCCCCGCTCCAGGTAACGGTAAGCACCGGCTCCCGTCACGCTGCTGAGGCAACGGGGGGGGG